AATATAAAAGTGTTGATGCTAGTATGGTCATATCAAACTAATGTCTGACAAAATATATGGATAATCAATTAAGTTATTAAAGTAGATCGATCGGTTAGTTCGATAGGAAACATTTAACAAAATTTGTCCTGTCCTATCAGTAAAATTGGATTAGTAGACACTTGACCAGCCGTTTATCCACTTAAACCAGTCGATTTTCAGGTGGGTTTCATTGAAACCCAGTGAACCAGTTTGTTCAATTGGGTTTCGAGAATTTACAAATGTCCAACAGATTTTTTGAAGATTTAGAAAATGGATTGTCGAGTTTCAAAATAGAGATACTAGCTTTTTAACGTTATATGCTTTTCCACTAGGCTACCCGCATTATTTGGACTACGTTTTGCCTGCTAATGTATAATATATAAAATAAGTGAGAATCATATTTTCAACTATTCTAACTTTACTACAATTTAATTATTTCAATAATACTTTATTTTTTTCGTTTTTCAATATGTATTTATTTATTTAATCATTCGAACAATATTATCATGAATTATATTGTCAATTATTTAGTCACAATCAATGTACATTTGACATATTCATTTCAATTGTATACTTTTTTTTTTTTTTCAATATGTATTTAATTTGTTTAACCAACTGATTATCGTGAATTATTTTGCTAACTATTTAGTCACCATCAATATACATTTGACATATTTATTTATCTTGTGTGCTTTCACCACATAAAACCCAATTATAAACTGTAATAAATATTACAAAATTCTTGTTTTTATATAAATTCTCTAGTATTAATTCTTAATTAATTAACATTCACAGTCATTAATTCATATTCATTTTTATTTATGCATTTTATTGTTATTAATTCTAATTATAAGTTAATTAGAATTTTACATTCAAGAACGCATTTCATTATTCACGTCTATGTATACTAATTAGCATTCAGCTTCACTTAATTGAAAATTAAATTATATTCATTTAATATAAATGATTTAACATTTATTATCACATATATATTCTCCATAGTAGTATTTCTAAATTAATTAACATTCACATTAATTTATGTATCGTATTTGCTTTAACCATGTGAACATTACTTTATCAATTATTTAGTTATCACTGTACATTTGACAAATTTATTTCACTTTTATACTTTCGTCACATAACCTCAATTACAAATTTTAATAAACACTACAAAATCATTGTTGTCCTTATTATTGATTCTCAATTAATTATTATTCATCTTCAAATATTACTTTTACAATATGTATAAAACATTTCAAAATGATGTGCAATGCACGTTCAACTCTAACTAGTATATATAAAAGTATATTACTCGATATCACAATATTTTTATATTATTCTAAATATTTATTTAAAACAAACAAAACTTGATAAGAAATAGAAATGAAAACGAGTAATAATTTAACTACCACTATATTATATATTGAAGAAATATAAAAACTAATATAACTATTAAAATTATTTTTCTAAATTGAAAATAATGTTCCAATTAGTAAATGAATTTCTGGTTAGAATCGAGTGAACTTTTAAGCTATTGATTATGCCATTGTTTGGTCCATGTTCGTACAAAACTCACAAGCATAAGTGATTCAATGGTAGGAGCTCGATTCTTTAGAATCTTGCATAAACAGCTAAGAAAATAAACAAAAGAGATTAGGTATGCAAATAATAGCCTCAAACAAAATAAAAGAAAAAATTGAATACTATACTAGCTAATAAACTTAAACTAAAAAATTTATTCTCCTACAGCGGTGCCAAAAATTTCTTCGTGCGAAACCCGCAAACTATGAAATCGTTGACAAATAATAGATTTGATGAGTTGTTTGTATCATTCTATAGGGAATAAATTTAATTAAAATTTATTAGTTTTGTATGACAGTGGAATTATTTAAACAAAAGAGAGATTTTCATTTGATTTTATGCAAAACTATTTAAGAAAGTGGTAAAACTATTTTTGTATCAATTTATGGATGATTGTATTGGATTTCGAATCCATCTATTACTATCTGATGCTACAAAAAATTTGTAACTGAATGAACTCGAATTGGATGATTGAGCTATACACGATCTGATCTTCAACACCTAAAACAAAGGCGTCGGTGTGTCCTCGTCGCCCATTCGATAATTAAGTCAGAGAGAGAAATTGCGCAAAAGGATGTATGCTGGAATATTATGTAAGACATACCTGAATAGTGAGGTCGTGTCACATATTTATAGATTTGGGAGGTCGAGTCCTAAAAGGACTCATCTACTTGTAGTATTTATCCTTATTATACGAGGTGTTTGTGTTATGTTAGAAGTGCACAGTTTGAGTTTGAGTCAAATTTGTAATAGGTTAGGAGTTTGTATTTAAATAGAAAAAGTTGGGAGTTGTAGTCGGAATATGATTATCATTCCTAGAAAATGTGAGATAAGGTCAAGGAGACCGAACAAAAAGTGTTACAAGCCTGACCTATGTGATAAGCCTGGCCTCAAACCTAAGCCCGAGCTTGGACCCAGCATAAATGAGGTGGGCTGAGTTCGGGCAATGAGTTCAAACTCGGCCTTATGGTGTTAATACCCATCACTATCTATTTCAATTCTTGATTTGTAATTTAGTTTCGTTCATACGTTCTTGACAATCGATAAAGCTACGGCATATAATTTTCTTTTCAAGATAAATTAAATCTATTCTAACCACAATATGAATCTATTCCTAATCCGAATGATTAAAATGCATTAAAGTTTAGATTTTCTATATGAGTGCACACGTGATAAATATTATTCCTAACATTTATTGCACATAAGTTAATTTTGCCGCTTTCTGAATTTATCTTTCAACACTACAACAATTAAATAAATATCTAATTAGTGGCCAAACAATTAAATAATGCAACGGGTATACAAAATTAATCAAGAAACACAAAAAGTAAACTTCATGACTACCTTGAATTAAAACAAATAAATAATATGATTCATCTTCATCTAATATAGAACGGATCTAGTCTAGCATACTTTTAAATAAATTACAGGATAAATAATAGAAAAATATAACTTGGATCATGGTAGAATGCAAAAGTTGTTGATCTTTAATTTCAAGGTTGAATTCTTCAAAATCTTGATGTAATTGACTTCAATTCTTTGCTATGGTTTGATCATATCTCTCAAAATATTGCAATTGGACCATTCTTCTTGATGAATTTGATAATATTATTGTATATGAAGAGGTAAGAGAGGGTTTTTCAATGTATAGCTCTTGTTTTGTATTTATAAGAGCCAGAAAATATGCCAAAATTATGTCCAATTTGAATTTCAAAAGAGTTTAAATTACGAAAGGAAACTGTTGATTCCTCTATGAAAATAGCTCCCTGCATGCGCAAACATAACTACCGCGCGCACGCCATTGAACCAAATGGCTCTCGTGAAAACAAGGCTCCACGCATCTACCATGAATTGCCCACGCCCAGGTCGGTTAGCATCTGTTCGTTCTTAAGTAGCTTTCGATATTTTGGTCATAACTTTCTCTTCTAATATCCGATTGAAATGATTCAAAATGAGTTGAAAAACTAACTCAGAGGAACATAATTATTCTAAAAGTACAACTTTTCTAATTCGAACATTTGCTATCCGAAAAATGGATTTCAAGTTGAGACTAAAAATTCAGAGCATAACGTTTTCGATTGGAAATTAATTTGTGAAAATACTTCAACTGTATTTCACTCATTTGACCTCCAATTGCATCCAAATTATCATTTTGTGATTCGAATCAACTATTGAATATTTACACTTTGATCCCCAAAACTTTGGATTTCTTCCATTTTGCCCTTTTCTTTTATTTCTTCCAATTCTACCAATTTGTGTTGAATTCCACCTAACAAACCTTTTTTGTTTATTTCTTCCAATTTGTATTGAATTCAACCTAATAAACATAATTAGGCTATAATTCATCCAAAGCCCTAACAAAGACTCCAATTTAATGGCCTAGATAATTGTATCCACAATATTTTCAAAATATATTTTTCTCTTTCTTCTTTTCAACAACACAATATTTAATAAAGTAATATTACATGATAATTCAAAACATTTCCTTATTTTTGAACCACCCATTTTTCGTCAATTTACTAATTGAAAATGCATTCTTAAGAAAAATGAGGCTCAAACAGGCTATATATCTATGCAATTTTTTAAAATTGAGTTCTACTTTTCAACCTGACTCGATGATCTAATCGGATAACATTCATATCGAATTTGATAACTGTCTCCAATAATTTGCAAAAAAATTGAATAGTTATAACGCGTTAGTGAAGAATTCACTGCTGGTTCACTCTTAAGAACTAGGGCAGTTTAATTGTAAACTCGTGAGTTCGATCTCAAATTAACCTTATTTAATCTTGGACTTTTCTTTTCTACACACACTAATTTTTAAGAATCATACATCTTTGTTGACATTTTATGATGTGTCAAAATCAAGACCATTAATTGTTTTTAGTATTTTTTGAAATCAATGACAAAATTGTGTGTCAATTCAGTGTTAAAGAAAATCTCAACCATGATGTACATCAAAGCAAGACTGAATTTTTAAAGCATTGGTCAAGACTTGCAAGAGACGCCCACACGGCCGAGCCCTTCCGAATTCCAAGTTATGATTGTGATTTGGACTCACATTTTAGGGCTTGGAGGACATGCGATCAACTGGAAGTTACTCTTCTTTATATAAAAATCCTCAACCATTCCACTTCAGGCAGTGACTCTAACCTAAATCCTTTCTATGCACGGAGCAAATTGACTTTCCCTATCCGAGTAAAATTGCGCACTACTGCATTTGGAGATAATTCCACAAAACTAAACAGGTTAACATTAACGATGGCTACAATTCTAGAATATTTCTTTCTACAAAAGGTTTGAATTCTAACCAAACTATACTTTCTCATGTCAATACCGAAAGTATTATTTGCATGCAAGAGCCATTTAAAGATTGTTCAAATAGGAAAGCAAAACCTTCAAATATCGAACAAAAATGGATCATCATAGTCCCAAATATTTGCCGTTGGATACTCATCATCATTAGTCAATGGCCATAAAGCCGGAGAGGCGGCGGAACCAGTCACCACCGGATCTGAAATGTCAGGCGCCACCAGAGGTCCAGTGAGGGCCTGAGAAAAGCTTGGCGCAACTGTTGTAATTGAGTTGATTTGATCGTACACACAATAGTTCTGACGCTGCTGAGAATCCAAATCTTGAAAATTTTGCTGTTGATGATTATTAGGGTTTGGAATTGTGGGTGCAGACTCAATATTCTTCACGTCGCTTGGTCCGTACCTTTGATGCACTGACCCCAGGTTTTGTGTACTATGTACTATGTTAGGGTGCTGTTCGGTCGGGTAAAATCCATTCGGCACATAATTTGCCAACCCTCCGAAGGAGGCGACAGGCGGCAGAAGTGGTGGAGTTGAGAATGTAAGGCCAAAGCCAGACGGGCGAGGCAGTAAAGGACGGAGGTTTTGAGTGGAAGAATACGAAGAAGAACGGGAGGAGGATTGACCAGATGCGCCATCACCACCACCGTCACTTGCACGTCCCCCACCACATGAGGTTTGTAGATTAAGCTGAGCCCTTGACCCATATAGAATAACGGCTGCACGGTCATACGCTCTGGCTGCATCCTCCGCCGTGGCGAACGTTCCGAGCCACCGCCGTGTTCTCTTTCTGGGCTCACGGATCTCAGCAACCCACTTGCCCCAGCTCCGCTGCCTCACTCCTCTATACTTAAACTTTCCATTATCCGGCCCTCCTTTGCCTTTACCTTTCTTGTTGCTCTTGCTGTTATCAACGCCGGCACTATTGGCGCTGTCACTGCTAGTGATAGCGTTGGAAATTGCAGAAATTGGGTGGCCACTAGTGATAATAATTTTAGGGTTATTGGAATCTACACCGTCGCTCATATTTGGTTGATTTTGTCTCGTTGTGTGTTTACCCAATTAGTCAAGAGAGAGGGCAGTAAAAGTGGCGTAGGGTGGTGGTTTGCAGCCGCGCAACGCTGTAAATGGTGGATGAGGGCGGTGCTCATAAGGACATTACTTGTTCATTATATACACTTTGAATGCTCCCTTGTGAAGAAACATATAGAATTATCGAGATAAAATATTTACAAAATCTGTTGTTGGATTACAATATGGCATTATATTTTCATTTTGTAATATAATTGTGTGATTTTTTTACTTTTTTATTTTTTATTTTTTGTATGAATTGTGTAGTAATGTAATTAATTACTTCTTTTAAATTATGAAAATCTTATATACTTTGGTAGCCAAATGATGGTGGTTAGTAGAAGGTGGACCAAAATTATTTCTTGGTCACTGTAACAGTCATTGATAGAAAGAACATGTGACTATTCTCGATTATTAGTAATGACGGTGGTTGAATTAGTTAATAACATTTACTCTCTCAATCCCAACTATATATGTTTGTTTCATTTTTCACACGGATTAAGATAGTCTCTTTAATGTTATTGAAAAATTTATTTTGTCAATATGTTTCCTAATTTACCCCTATTTAATTTTTAGTATGTAANGCTTCTTAAATGTTATCGGGAAATTAATTTTTGTCAAGATTTTGCCTAATTTACCCCTATTTAATTTTTAGTATGTAAAACTAAATTATTGTTGGAATTAATAAAGAAGAATAAGAAATGAGAGTTGTTCCATGTTTTCAAGAAATGGAAAATGTGTATTTGGACGATTTCGAGAAGTTGACATATTAAGTGAGAAAAATTTAATAAGGGTATATTGGTAAATGAACCCAACAAAATATTCTGTATTAGGAAATAGACCTATGTATTTGAGACAAGAGAAAAAGGATACCCAGCCAATACAATTGAGACGGTGGGAGTATTAAAGTACAGTGTATTAAAATTAATCACCTCTACATTTAACTTATTAACAATATAATATTTATTTGTTAATTTTTAATGTTGTATTAAGTTATTAATATAAGTCGGTGTTGGTGTTGTGTTGGCTTGTGGATTTTGGGTCCATTGTTGGTTTTTGAAGTTTTAGACATTGCCCGTCAATGGTTGCGGAGGAGCTCAAGTGCTGGATGCGTTAATTGGCTTATAGTCGGGGTTTCCGAACTGTGAAGTCACATCTGTAACTTCGCTGCGGGCCACTTCCACAGCTCGGGTGTTGGTGTTTGTTGTTTTGGTGGCGTTTGCTTTGGTGGTGTTTTTGTTGTTGTTCTGTTTGTATTTGCTTTTGGTGTTGTTTAGTTTGTTTTTGTTGTTGTTTTGTCTTAACTCTGATAACACTTAAACTCTCTTTGGAGAGCATTGTGTTTGAGGTTTATCCTCTTTGTATCAGTTTTATGCTAATTTAATGGATGTGCACTTCAAAAAATAAAATTTAACAATATTTTGTTTCATTGTTTATCATATATCTTCAACACGGAAATGTTGATAATGTCCAAGAGCTATTTATTATTGTAAAATGGTGTGTATTTTGACCTTCATTTTATAAAAAATTGCATTGTCCTAAACATAATGACCGGTATATAAAAATAAACATCACATTGTTAATTGTGTCCTCGTTTTTCTTTTTTGTCACTATTTAATTAAAAAAAATTCTAGTTTCATTTCTAGTCGGCAATGCTATCTCACTCACATACACAATAAACAAACAAAAATATTTTTTTTAAAAGTTTTTCGATATATCCATTTTTTACATACTGAAAGCAAAAACATTCAAACACAACAATATCAAAACATATGAAGTATCGATGATCATATGAATGCTATCAAACATGAAACCCTAGTTGACCCATGTGCCTCGTAAAGTGTGACACATGCTTTCTTATAATTGTTTGACTCCATTTGATTTTTTCCCCATTTTTTAGCTCAATCTAGACACTAAGACCTATTTATGCAAAAATAAATGGAAAAATGCCAAAAAGATAAATGCAAACCTATAAAACTATGAAGCTTCAAAGGGTATTTATGTCGAAGTGCAGGTAATCTGCGTCTTCACAGACATATCTATTTTATTGAGTCTTTCTTTAAGACAGTGCCCATATTGTTATGCCTTTCTTGCTTAGCTTAGGTGGAAAGCAAATAACTCCTTTCGAGAGGGCTCGAGCTATTAGTGTATACCACTTTGAAAGAGTTAGAATTCTAACATTGTGTCACGACCTACGGGCCATGGGACAGTATCGAGTTAGATAGTTTTTATGGAGCTTAAGCATCCTAAAAGAGAGGCAAAAGGGAGCTTGATGCAATACCTACATGTCGAGTAAGGATGTAAGTCTATTTTAGTGATCTGACAGCGCCGAATAGAAAATCTTAGCACCTATTTGGTGGCTTTTTTTTTTTTGACAAAATATTTTTTGAACAGTGAATTTTTGGAAAATGTGTGGTTAAAAAATAGAAAATAAATTGGATTTACGTGTAGAATATTTTATTTTGTAAATGTGTGGAAATAGTGTGGGACAAACATGAGCTTAATAACATTCAATCATTAAAGTGCTTCTTTCGTTCATTCAGAGACTTGTTCAATAATTAAAAGAATATGGGATAGAGAATATAGTTTACTCCGATTAAGAGCTTAATTTATAGTCTTTGGCTCGATTTTGCAATATGATAACTCGGAATTGGCAAGATGGATGCTTGACTGCCCATTTGAAAAATCACCATCCCAATACGATTTTAACCTTTGCTCATTGACTTTGAATGTTATTCTTATGTCACTTCTAAATCTCTACAATGAAAAATCCAAACAGAATTTCTTGGTTTACTTCCAAGATAAATGTGACACATTCTTTTGTCTATCACTCATGAAAGTAATGGATAACCAATTCTCTATAACTAGGTCTTCAGATAACAACATCAAAAACCATCGCCAAGAACGGTTGTTCTCTTTCTCAACGATGGCATATGCAATTGGATATATACAATCGTTGGTTACTACCCTAACTTCTGCTAGAAGTTGCCCATCATATTTTCCTTTCAAAAAACATCCATCTACACTAATAAAATGCCCATACCCCTAGATCCCCTCTTACACGTCTCTATACAAACATAAATACCTTTAAACACATTTTTCGCGTGAGCAATGATCACACTAGAACCAGGAATTGTTCTCCTCAATTTCTCAGCATAACAACCTAACTTCACAAGATGGTCTGCGTCATTCCCTGCTATTAACGTTCCATGCAACTGACTTTGTAATAAGCACTCCCAAATCCTTTCTCACTCTAGTATTGAAGTGCTTTGTCTTCCATTGAGGATCGACGGTAAAATCATCCAAGTAATAATCATCAAGCCACTTATATGTTACGCACTCATTTGTACGTACCTTCAAACAAGTATACTTAGGGTCGTATTTTTAATCTATACAGTGACTTGACCTTGCAGCTTAGACGCCCACAACATCCATGGACAACTATCTTTACAAACACAATGCACTCGGCTCTTATCATTTCGCTTGAAAATTGGCTCAACCGCATTGAATATCGCGTAATTTCTATCAACTTATTTCAATTCTTCAAAAGAACCAAATGATAACCCTATCTCGATATGTGGATTTTTCTTTTCATTTTGAGGAAAAAATTCAAGAAAATTATGTGTACTGATGTGGTCTTCAAAGTCTAAACCATTACCAGACTGGACCCTGCTACATTTACAGTCATTTACACAGTCTACACACATGGGGTGGGCCTACATTTTTGTGGGCCCCATCCCATGTGTGGGGACTATGTAAATGAATGTACAATTTGACTGTATGTTTGGCATTTCCCTACCAAATTTAGCTCTTGTGAAGATACATTTGACAAGATTTGTGCTTTCAGGGCTTCTTAATCATCTAGCGCTCTATGCATACCCTGCATTTTGATACCTTCGTTAATGTTATGATCAAACAAAATATCATCATCATTGTATACATCGAGGTCTGAGTCGTGAAAGTCTAGATTAACGTCGATCAGAATGTCTGCAAATGTAACAAACAAAAAAAATTAAAAAAGAGTGAAAGTCTAGATTATCGTCGATCATAATTATGATTTTTAATATACTATCATAGTTTTATTTTCTATTAGAAAGAATGAAGTCGAATGTACAAGGAATTGTTATACCAAATAAATGCCAAATGCCTGGTTTTGAACTCTCATAATTGCTAAAAGAGGAACATGTCTATATATATCAATTTCCCAATGCTTCAAACGGATGTCAACATACTATCAATATTATATTACATGTCATAATAGCTCGTTAATGAAAAAATGTCTTCTATGGTATCAACAGTAAAGCAAGAGGAAGAAGAATGTAACGAATGCAAAAGAAATGGTCATTGTTGCTTACCCTGTTGATGGAATGACGTTCAGACAGCTCGAATTTGGTTTGAGGGGGATGTATTTATGATTTGGGATTTAAGGTTCATAGCTAATTTGGGGATTTGATTTCTATGTTTGTGTGAGAGAGCCGGGGACGAGTTTGGGTTTTGAAGATTTCAATTTTTTTGTTTTTGTATACGTGTTTTTAACTGAACATGTTCGTGTGTGCAACACTTATATGAAATGGCACCCAACAGCTGACATATGAAACCACATTTGCAACCATGTCATCATTCCTTCAATTTTTGGACGGATCATGAGCTTAGTAACGAACAGTGTTACAAATGCAAAATATAAATGAGGTGATTTTTAAAGTACAGTAATCCCTTGTGGACCTTTTGCACAATTCAGCAACCATTTGGGCTATTATCTCCATTTCTGCTACACGACTAAAAGTGACATGCCATTTCCTTTTAAACCAATATTTTTATGGTATGATTTAACTCTCAATCTTGGCCAAAAAAAAAAAGGAATATTAAACAAAAAGTGACAAAAATTCAAAAAAAGTCAAAAATATTAAAAAAAGGTGATTAAGACTCAAAAAGTTACAAAATCTCCCCCAAAAAAAGTGACAATCAATTTGTGGGCTTTTGGGGTTTTGGACATAATTAATATGGAATTTTGAAGTTCTAATTAATTTTAAAGGTATTAATCTAATTTTTTTAGGGTAGTGGAC